CCTCCTCCCGGTCCTCTCCCCCCCACTCCCCATCTGAGATCAAGTGTGTCCAGTATTTTTTTTTAAGCCATCTGGTAACCTTACAAAAAACCCATAATTCCTCCTCCCGGTCCTCTCCCCCCCACTCCCCATCTGAGATCAAGTGTGTCCAGTATTTTTTTTTAAGCCATCTGGTAACCTTACAAAAAACCCATAATTGTGACTTGAAAATAAGAAAACTGATAAATCAAACTTATGTTGCTCTCTTTAGTCAATAAACAATATACATGTCTACATCATCTGATTGACAGGCCTTCGGTTAGGAGAGTGCCCCTTGATCCCCTCCTGTCTATGACCAAACATGCCCTTAAACAGGACAGCACCTTTTGAACAGACTGCGTGCATCTTCCTCCCCTCATGGCACTCAGTGTTTTGAGAGGTGCTCCGGGTTGCTTCCATCTCCAAAAATGCTCATGATGCCCCCCCCCCAAAAGGGCTAGATGCAAAAACAATAACAGTGTTCCCCCCCACCACTCCCTTGTGGGAACATCATTGTCTTTTGTTGAACATAGAAGGAGATATGAAAGGGAAATGACTGTGCTCTTACGACTGTACCAGTCGATATGTAAAAGATATATTTAATAAGAAAACATTGGCAAGGAAATGTGGATATTTATTGATAATGTTTCTCAGACCTCAACTGAACCCATTACAGAGTATGAAGGGCTGAACTGCCCCTAGAGTTTGTCTTAAAATACAGATGCATTCAGCAGCAGGTCAATATAGAAACCAGCACAGGTCAGTAGTGACCTGATACTAAAAGCTAGTGATGAAATGCCTTTGATGTTTTCATTTCTGTTCTAAAATTAGCAAAATGTCCACAAGAATTAAAAAGAAGCATTGCTGATAAAAAAAAAAAAAAACGTTGGCAGTCACCAGCACACATTCTGCACAAAGATTCTCATCTCTTCCTAAAAGAAGAATCAGGTTGGCAGGGAAAATGAATATTTCAGAAGTGCTGAAGTCACACAATAATTGAACAGAAAATTTAAATCCATAAGAGACAAAATCTTTAAATATATGCAAGAAATTATAACATGTAACTTTAATTCAATTACTTTACCTAAGAACAAATTAATGGATATTGTGTGTCAAAATAGTGGATACCTTTTCCCACTAACATCTGATTATTTTTAGTGTGTTGTAGCAGTATACTTAGTTTCATATGACAGTGGGAGGTTTTTTTCTGAAAATATTACGTAGTTACATGTTTGTACTAGTTAATATTAATATTATGTTCCATTTCTATCTAGATAAACTTCTGAAGGCACTAAAAGATGAAAAAGTTCAAGGCATTAAGACAAGGCGGAATCTGAACAGACAGACACCTACATCATCATAAGGATTATTTCAGTTAGCTGTTCTGTCATTCAGTTACAGCATTTTAATGGACTCTGTATAATAGATTGCTTTACTGATTATATGCTGTTCAGTTATATTGCCAAGTTGGAAATTTACTGTATGTATTCTCTACTTGGCTTTTTGTTCTTTATTGGTCCAATATTGAATATTTTAAATACATAAAATACTAGTTTTGGGCAGTAATCTTTATATGAAAACCTGGCATCTAATCTTCATGTTTCAGTTTGAGAGCTTATCTTTATCACCTGGTGTCAAGGCCAAATCCCTACTCTGGCATGATGAATGCAGTAGTGCGGGCCCGCAAAAGTACCCCAAAACCTTATCTTTCCAGGCTTTGGTATAAAACTTCCCCCAAAACTCTTAAAAACCTAGCTTTTGGTGATAAAAATCCACTACCACCACCCAAGTAATAGTAAGAAAACCAAGGAAGAGATCACTTGGGAAATCTCAGCCCTATAGTAAAACCAGGACACAAAAATTAACCAATATCAGATTAATAAAAAAAAAAGATTTTTTTTTGTTATCACCACAATACTCCTGTTACAAGCATAATTAATAAAAAAAAAAAAAATTTTTGTTATCACCACAATACTCCTGTTACAAGCATAATGACTAGATGGAAAAGTCACCAATTAATACACTCATGGGGAACCCTCATGGGCCAAAAGCTTAGTTACAAAGGAGAGGAAAACCCATTTTTAAATGCATAGACATCAGATTTCCATTCCCAAACCAAAAAACAATAAAACCTAACAGATTTATCTAAACTTTTCCCTATTTACAGATAGTGAAGAGTCTTTTCTTAGAGAGAGAGACATATCTGTCTCCCTCAGTATCTGTAGAGAAACTGCCCAGAGACAAAGGAGGGAAAACCAAAAATTCCTTTGTCCCAGTTTGAAATTCTTATCTACATTTCTATTGGCTGCCTGCTACCTGGTTAGATAAAGGACATAGTTAACCTCTTAGTCTCCAGGCTACTGGCCATCCCTCATGATCATCACACCTGGGCACAGACTTTTACAAATTTGCCAAGGAATATTACTGAAGGCAAAGGGCACTGGATAGTGCCTTCCTCAGAAATACTCAGAATTTAACACTGCTGTAGACAGGATATTAGTCCAGTGATCCAGCATGGCAAAATCCCATGTTCTTATAGCAGAGAAAGCATAATTCTAAGGTACCACACTGTTCCCCAAAATACATACTAAGGACACGAATACTTTCCCCAGTGATGCATAATATCATGTAATACCCAAACTTATCTAACTTCCCATAAAAATATCACCTCCTTCCATCCTAGCCTGGCTCTGCTCCCCAGCATGAACTATTTCCCACTAACAATAAACAGCAATGTCAGGATTTTAGGGTGTAGGTGGATAGGGGTTCCCATGAGAAGGAAGACATCCCATTTACTGTACAGCAATCCCCCTAAAGCTTAGAATGTTGGTCAATACCTAGACGGCATACAAGACAGGTTTTTCCTTGTCCTAAAAAGCTATTCCTCGTGGATCTGACAGATTTTTTGTACTAGATTCAGCAATGCATTCATCTGCACTAAAAATATGTCCGTCATAATATGAAGCGTTAAGAGGAGAGAGACGAAAATAAATGTATGGCCACTTTGTTCTAGCTGCCTTGACTCATTAGATTTGTATAGGTAGAGCATGTTCAAAAATCATTTAAAATAGCATGATGTAGTCAATGTGACAATGGAAAAAAATATTGGTGAACTAAAAAGAATATTACCATGACTGCAGGTTCATGAATCCCTGGCTACTCAAACCATTCATGACTGAGTACAGTACAATGGTGTGAAAGTTAAGAAAAAGCTCCTTGCGGACAAAGCCAGTTTGATATTTACAGTACAGAAGAGGAAGAATCATTTTGTGATTAAAGCATAGGACTTAAAGTTCAGGTCTACTCTACTCCTAACTCTGCCACAGACTTGTTTTTTTGATCTTGGTCAAGTCACAGCCACATATTCAATAGTACTTAGTATCTGAATGTCAGGCGATAGGTGTTTAAAGAAGAGCACTCAGAGGCCATTAGTTGAAGATTTTAGCTATAATTTCTGCCTGTGTCCTCATCTGTAAAATGAGGACAATATTATGTACCTTAGGTAATCGCAGGGCTCAGTTAATTAAATGTTAGCAATAACATAGACCCTTTTATGTGAGAAGCTCTATATAACTAAAAAGTATAGGGCTTTTTTCTTAAAGTTATTTTATGAAACTCATGTTTTACTATTTTAGTGTTTGATTGGGGTTTTATCTTTTTTTATTACCTGAGCCATAATAGATGTACTTGTCCATTAAAGGCATGTGGCATTTTAGAGCAATAATGTCCTGGTACAAAGAGATTAAGCTGTCAATTGGTGAGCAAAAGCAGAGACAGGGAGATTAAAGGCCAAGAAAATAGCTACAATAAGTGCACAGAGCTGCTGACTGTGAGTCCACGAAGAGCATGAGGAAGAAACCAAGAAGGAAATCTGATTAGCTAGAATTGTCTGACTTCTTGTAGGAAATAAGATAATTTTTTCTTATCCTGGTGCATGTTCACTAGATGGCAGCATGACCAATAACTTCAGCTCACGGAGGGACTTTACAGTGCAATAAAGCAATTTAATATGTCAAAACCATCATCATTCCACCATGGGACTAAGAAAGTCAACATACTGTGTTCAACCCATTTTTGGGATAGGAGACTTTCTGAACTCAGGAACGGACACAAACAGCACATTAAAGGTTGAACCTCCCAAATCCAGGACTCTAGTCCAGCAACATCCATGGTCTGGCAGGGCCACTGATGTTACTGGACCAAAGAGTCCCAGAGTCGGGAGCAGAACCCAGTTGGAGAACACAGGGGTGGGGAGCCCTGGCTGCGCCAGCAGTGATTGGGCCAGGTGGTGGCTGGGGCCCCAGCATCAGTGGGACCAGGTAGTGAATGGGGAGCCCCCATCCCAGCCAGGACACCTCTGTTGTCCACTGGGGCAGGCGGGGAATGAGGAGCCCATAATTCAAACTACCTACTCTGTGCTGCGTGTAGCCGCGGGCACGGAGTTCGGACTAAGAGGGATTTAAAAAGGGTGGCACCCGGGAAGATGCAAATGAAGCCCGGGATATTTAAATCCCGGGCTTCATTTGCAACTCCGGTTGCCTTCATTTGCCTACCTAGCTTGAACTACCAAGCTAGTGAAGACATACCCATGAAGCATAGTTAATAAGCTCACTTGAAAATACAAGCATATTTGAAGAACTACTGGCATGTACTTGCCTGTAATCCCCATATTGACTGGTTACACTTCACCTCAGGATGGGATGCAGAGAAAAATTTCTTGATACCTTAAATGACTGCTTCTTGGAGCAACTGATACTGGAACCCACAAGGGGAGAGGCAATTCTTGATTTAATCCTAAGTGGAGCACAGGATCTGGTCCAAGAGGTTGCAAATAGTGACCATAATGTAATAAAATTTAACATCCCTGTGGTGGGAAAAAACACCTCAGCAGCCCAACACTGTGGCATTTATTTTTAGAAAGGGGAACAACACAAAAAAGGGAGGTTAGTTAAACAAATTAAAAGGTACAGAAATTAAATACAGAAATACAAAAAAATCCCTGTGAGCTGCATGGAAACTTTTCAAAGACACCATAATAGAGGCCCAGCTTAAATGTATACCCCAAATTAAACACAATAAAAGAACCAGAAAAGTGCCACTGTGGCTTAACAACCAAGTGAAAGAAGCAGTGAGAGATAAAAAGTATGGCTGTCAATTAGTGGATGTTAACGCTGCGATTAACGCAAAGCAGAATTAACACATTAAAAAGAATTAACTCATGTTGGTGATCTGAAGAAGTGGGTCTGCCCCATGAAAGCTCATCACCTAATAAACTATCATGTTAGTCTTTAAAGTGCTACATGACTGCTTTTTTTGGTTCATCACAGAGGTCTGCAAACCAGCATAAGCTCTGGTACCGTGCAGTAATGCAAACCACCACCAGAGGGCGCATGGAAAAACAAAGCAACCAAGAAAGAAAAAAACCTGAAGATGTGGTTCCAGCTCAGAAAGGAGGAAAAAAACCTGAAGATGTGGTTCCAGCTCCAATGGAGAAAAGTAAACAAGAAAAGTGAAGACCCTGGCACCCGTCCCTCTCTCCTTCCAGGTGACCATATATAAAAAAAACATCCTGGGGTGGAGGGGCTTGCCCAAACTTTCTCCAAACCCCCACCCGGCAGTGCTCACCCAATCACCCAAGCCACCCTCTCTTTTCCTCCTGGGGCTGGGACTGACCCTCCCCCAATATCTGATTCTGGAGCTGTCCCCCCTCCTGAACGCTGCACTGATCATGGAGGGGGTCTACCCCCCCAGCCCAGTGGCTGACCCCTTTCCTAATCTTTGGGGGCTAACCTCCACCCCTGAGCCCTATATCACTTGCAGTTGGGGTCTGAGCCCCTCCTCCCCCAAACTGCACTGCCCATGGCAAAGTCTACCCCCCTCCAGTCCTGTGCTGATAGGGCTGGGCTAAAAAAGGACTCATTTGAATAGGCCACAAATATATTGATTATATAGAAGAATTTAAGTTCAGCTTTCATGATAGAATTTGCACTAAAATACTTCAGTGAGGTGAACTGAAGGGGTTTTTTTACAGTGTAAATGTTTTGTAATAAAAAATAAATATAAAGTGAGCACTATACACTTTGTAGTCTGTGTTGCAATTGAAATCAATATATTAGAAGATGTAGAAACATCCAAAAATATTTAAATATATAGTATTATGTATTGTTTTACTATATGCTTAATTTTTTTAATCACGCAATTAATCGTGATTAATTTTTTTTAATCACTTGACAGCCCTAATAAAAAGACATCTTTTAAAAAGTGGAATCAAATCCTAGTGAGGAAAATAGAAAGGAGCATAAAATTTGTCAAATTAAGTATAAAAATGTAATAAGAAAGACAAAAAAGAGTTTGAAGAACAGCTAGCCAAAAACTCAAAAAGTAATAGCAAAATGCTTTTAAGTACATCAGAAGCCGGCTAACCAACCAGTGGGACCCTTGGATGATTGAGATGCTAGAGGAGCACTCAAAGATGATAAAGTTATTGTGGAGAAAGTAAATTATTCTTTGCTTCCATGTTCACGGCTGAGGATATTGGGGAGATTCCCAAATCTGAAACATTATTTTTATGTGACAAATCTCAGGAATTGCCCCAGATTGAGGTGTCATTAGAGGAGGTTTTGGAACAAATTGATAAACTTAACAGTAACAAGCCACCAGGACCAGATGGCATTCACCCAAGAGTTCTAAAAGAACTCAAATGTGAAATTGCAGAACTATTAACTGTGGTTTGTAACTTATCCTTTAAATCAGCTTCTGTAAGCTAATGACCGGAAGAAAGCTAATGTGACGCCAATATTTTAAAAGAGCTCAAGAGGTGATCCTGGCAATTACAGACCAATAAGTCTAACGTCAGTACTGGGCAAATTAGTTGAAACTA